TCTGTGTGTGGCGGTGCTGGGAAGTGATCGTGATGCTGTTGTCTCCCCAAACGTGCTTTTTTGAAACCGAGAAGACCTCCCCCCCGCAAAAAACTCAACTTTTTCAGAACTTATTAGAAAACTGTGATCATGCGGATCGTAGGTAACGATTCTGTATAGCGGCTTGTTCAACCCTCGTTGCGTGGCCGGATCAAGAACACAGTTTGCAGTGCGGTGGGTTTTTATTCATAAGTAAATAAAGGTTAACGTTCTCCCCCCCCCACCCCCGAATCATTTTTTGCAGGTATGCAGAATTTTACTTCAACAGTTTTCTTTGAATCGAAGAGTATTTTAAAAGCTATCCCATTTCAATTTATCTGGCTGCACTGAAAGAGATCCAGAGCCTCAAATCCTATATACTGTGCTTCATCAGTTGGATTTCTTCTTAACACAAATCATTTGTTTGAGGGGGGGGGGCGGGCGGAGGAAGAAGCCTCACCCTGAGTCCTATGTGCTTGTTTGTGGTTTTAGGCACAATTAGTGGGAATAAATTGCTGACAGTTTAGCTCTTCACTCCTTGCAACCAAAGGAACTCATTTTTAAAAACCAATCTTCTCTACCTTTTATAGCAGCCTGACTTTTTCCTTGCAAGGTGAAGACACAGCAATGCTTTCCCTACATTCAGCTGTTTGGGAAAAAGACAAGTGAAAAGCCAGGTTTACCAAAGTGCCAACTGAATTCTGAGAAAGTGTGCAAAAGATACCAAGACTCTTTATCAATAGCAGTTTTATAGCAAACGATTATAAATGCAGTGGGACTTGAGACAACCTACATAATTTAGTATTGCCATTCCATGGATCTTTTCACACAGATCCTAGGTTTATGATTGCTGGATATTGATGGCATCACTATGAATTAAAATCAATTCCACTCTTCACTGACCTGCTAATGTAGTTGTTTTTGGCAGAAAGAGGGACATTCTTTGCCACTTCCATGATCTTTTTCTGACTTCCCAGTCTAGTCTAGTCTAGTCTCCAGCCCTGGAATTTCCTGATGGTTTTCCACCCATGTATTAACCAGGTCTGACTTGCTTAATTTTACAAGATCAGCCAAGATCAGTTAGCTGCCTTTCAGACTTTCATTTTTTAGGCAAGTGACAAAGTTGGTATGCAAAATATTTGCATAAGAACCCTACAGAAATGGGTGTGGGTGTGTGCTGCAGGCCAATGCTTTGTTTGGAAGTGTACCCAGTTGCCCAAGAAATAAGGACAAAAGTTTAGGTGATACCATCCTGCAAGGTTGAGATAATTCAAGTGGTC